CGGAGTATTCCTGTCCCGGCCTACTAAAAATAAAGTCGAAATCAACTGACAGAGTCTAAACGAAAGTTGTAGAGCATAGTCTCACCTACGCGTGGATATAAAAAACATGGAAAATGGAGCTCGTATGCGAAAGTTGCACAATTTTGAAGTTTGGTATGTCGGTGTACGCTAAGCGTAAAGGAGTACGCCCAGCGTACCCATATGCATGAACTGAAATGGGCCACGTCGACCTGACCCAATACTCGAGTGCATGGGTTCGTAAGCGATGAAGACTTTGGCCTAATCCAAAGCGTACGCCCAGCGTAGAGATTAGTACGCCCAGCATACTCCGAAATTACGCCCAGCGTAATCCCAGTTTCAGCACCCTATAAATAGAAGTCAAGGGTTGCCGATGTTTTTGCTACTTTTCTTCCTTTCTCTCTCATTTTTGCATCGTTTTGCATGCAAGAAATACCCCGAAGCCTCGGTATTAATCCTGAGCCCCGAAGCGAGTCCCGAGGCCCCGAAGATCCCGAGAAGTAAAATTCCCAAGCCGAAGCTCTGCTTGCATGAAGCCCGGTTTTTGTGAAGATCTCCCGGTTTAATCGAAGAATACTACTTCTACAAGCCGTAGCGCTGTCCGATCATCTTCTGATCAAGTAAGTGTGTAGTTACGTTCTCCTAACACATAAATACAAAGTATTCTCTGTAAAATACGTGTTGTGTGTTTATATGTTATGTGTTATTTGAAATGAGTACTGATCGAATGTTTTATACATGTATTATGTTCTTCCTGATGAAAATCCTAGATTAGGTCCCTTGTGATAGTTGTTGTTTTAGGGACGTAAAGTGAGGATAACAGGAATGGGTAACCGAGTTATTGTTGATTGTTGAATTAAATATAATTATTTATTGTGGGTTGAAAACCCTATATGCTCACCAGGCTCCTAAGCCTAACCCACTCAGTTTCTTTGTATTACAGGTAATGGCGCGAGAGCATAAGTTGGATGAATCATCAAGATATTTTGTTTATAAGCCTGTAGTTGTAATTAAATGTTGTAAGGCTTATAATGTGTCGTTTATGCTTTTGGTCTGTATCGGAAGATGTCATCCTGAGTTTTGTTATATAATGAAAAATACATTTCTTTAAGAAATGCTTTGATAAACTTTATTTTATCATATTTTATTTTGAGAACAAATTCCGCAACTCTTTTAATCAAATGATTACTTTGAATTTATTTTAAAAGCATAAATAAAACTGGTCTTTTCTGGCCGCGAATTTGGGGATGTCACAGCCACCGTGTTGGGTGGCAGTGTGCTTAGTTTGTGTTTGGATTGCTTTTGGAGTGCTTGGACTCGATTGGACTAGAACCCTAACCTCCACCGTGAGTTGCCGTTGACCACCACTACCCGAGGTGGTAGTGGGTGGTGTCCGACTAGCGAAACCCTAATGGGCCTTATGAAACCCTAATAGGCCCAATGAATCCCAAAGTGATCTAAAAGGTTAACCATGTGACTAATGGGCTAGTATTTGGGTTGGAAACTCTAATTAGGGTTTAGAAAACCCTAATGTCAAAGAACGCTAATTTTGGGGATTGATCGGGACCTGTACTGGATTTATTTGCTAAACTTAAAATAATTAATTAATAATCATTTTCAATTAATCTAAGGCAATATTGGACTTAATGGATTAATTCCTTAATGGGTTAAGTGAGAAACACTTAACCCTAATCGTCATTTTATGTGAAAACCCTAATTTCACTTGGGCCTTAAGTTGGGCCTTTCCATTGGGATTTGGTGATCGGGCCAATAAGGGGTCATTCAAGAATAATCATATGGACTAGAATAATTGGATGGGCTTTAGGGTAAGGCCCATATGAGGGGTTGGGCCCAATTTGGAAAATTGGGCCATAGGTGGGCCATAATTGGGCCTTCATGATTATAAGATATTGGGTCATTAGAAATGTCATATGTTGGACTGGACTAAATGGTTAGGCCTTAGAATAACACAATGTAAAGGTTTGGGCCCAATTGGGAAAATTGGGCCATATGTTGGGCTTTGATTCATAGTTTAACTTTTAGGCCTTTGGATTGGGCCTTGAGTTGAATCAAGCTAAGATAGGGGTAAGGCAATCTTTTACCCCAAGCATGGATTTATGATTTTTGTGTTGGAACCCAATTATTAATTGGGTGTTGTTTTGATATTGACAATTCGGGAAGCTATCATCCAGCAGCCAGGGTTTCATCTGCGGGACTTCAGTAGTGTGAGATGAGTTACCTTCCAGTAGAGGTGGGTCTAAGGAACCAATGTTGGCCCACCAGTAGGTGATTATATATGAGATAATTGTCTTTGTGATAATTTTATGGGTTGCCACTATCTGATATGTTTTATGTGCTAGGATGCTATGATATATGTGATAGTAGTAGTTGGGGTGAAATAGTCCCCAGATACTGGTTGAAAGATACCGAAAGGGTAGGTCGGGCACCCAGATATGTCTGATAGTATATTTATGTATGTTATGTTATATGATTATGTGGTAGTGGTAGGGGTGAAATAGTCCCCGTTAGAACGAAGGGGAGGCCAGCACCCAGATATGCAAGGCAGTTATCTGGTTGAAACAGACCGAATGGAAGGCCAACACCCATATATGCTAGGCAGTTATCTGGTTAAAAAAGACCGAAAGGGAGGCCATCACCCAGATATGCTAGGCAGTTATCTGGTTGAAACAGACCGAATGGAAGGCTAACACCCAGATATGCTAGGTAGTTATTCGGTTAAAAGAGACCGAAAGGGAGGCCATCACCCAGATATACTAGGCAGCTATCCGGTTGAAATAGACCGAAGGGGAGGCCGGCACCCAGATATGCTAGGTTGTGTATGTTATTGTATGGTATGTGGTATGATGGGGGAACTCACTAAGCTTCGTGCTTACGGTTTTCAGTTTTGGTTCTAGGTACTTCGTTTTCAAAGGGAAGGAACCGGCTCGATCGCAGCGCATCACACTATGTTTTCCGCACATGAGATCTTTGGGATTGCACTGTGATATTGTTTTATGATAACATGTTTTGATTATTGATACTTTGGTTTTGACATGAAATGTTATTATGGATGTTTTTATACTTATGGTTTTATAATAACTTATTTAAAAATGAAATTTTTGGTCTTGAATTTTAGGATGTTATAAAATGTTTGAGATTCTATTAGAATAAAAGTTTGTATATGTATGATATTCGGTTAGAATTAAAATTTATATGATTATTGATTTATGTTTCAGAGTGATATGTGTAAGATTCTGTCAGAATAAACTTATATAGATGTATGAGCTTCGATTAGAATGAAACTTTCTATGAGTAATGATTTATGTATCAGGTGTAATGTTTGAGATTTTGTTGGAATCAAAATTTGTATATGAGTAATGATTTATGTATCAAAGTGAAACATATAAAATTATGGTAGAATGAAAGGCTTTATATGTAGGATATGCTGGTAGAATGTAACTTTATATAAGTATGTGAGTATATCTATGGTTAATAGTTTATGTATCAAAGTGACATTTATGAGATTCTGATAGAATTAAACTTTGTATATGTATTATGAATTTCCATGGTTAATGGTTTATCTATTATAATGGATGGTTGATTTGTATTATAAAGGTTGATATTTGGCATGATAACATGTTATTTTATGATAGTATGTTTTTATTCTGTCATAATAATATTATGTAATAATTTTTTATTTTGTTAGAATAGAAAATATATTTTATTTTAAAACATTAGTTGATGTATTGGGTTTTAGTCATGTGTTAAATATATTAATAGACATTCTAATATGTAATTTGTATTATAGCATGAGAAGTACAACAACAACACGTGGACCGAGAAATATCGAAGAAAAATTTTGAGAAATTTGTACCAGAAAAGAAAACTCTTTAACCTTTAAATATACTTGTCATGTAAAGAGAGATAAGGTGAAATAGAAATTTTGAGAAAGTTATAATTGTAAATAATTTAAAGAAGGGAATTAAAGAATCCGTGAAGGATAAAAAAGAAGATAAGGTTAGAAAAACAAGTAAGGAGTATCCACCTGGAAACCTTCCAACAAGAATGAAACATAACAACATCGTGGGTCCATATTCTTTAATCCCTAACTAGTAAAAACCACATTCGTCATTGGCCCGGGTTTGAATAAGTTTAACGAAATTTGTGGAGGCTTGATTGAAATTTGTAGATGAGTCATATGATGTTTCTAAATGAGTTTAATCAATAATAATAAGGTTTAAGTGCAACAAAAATAAAATAAAAGGCATATTGTTATGCAAAGTTGTGGCAAATGTTTAAAGGGTCTAAAAAGTACTATTCGCAAAGTTTTGTGGCAAATGTTTAAAGGATCTTAAAAGTACTATTCGTGCCATTATCCAATGCCAAGATGCTTCCTTATTACAGTATAATATGATAGAGGATTTAAAATACAAATCCGACCTTAGCTCAGTTGGTAGAGCGGAGGACTGTAGTAGGCAAAAAGCCAATGGCCATCCTTAGGTCGCTGGTTCGAATCCGGCAGGTCGGAATTATTTTTTAAATATAAATTTTGCATATATAAAATAGTATAATTTTTCTCTATACATGTTTTTTTGGGCCAAAAATCACGTTATAAACGAACATCTTACAGGTTTTGTGAAATTAATAAAATAAGTTGCATCATATATAATATATAATGAGCTCTAGAATCAATCATCTTACAAGTTTTCGATTATAAGGACATAAGGAGAATAGTTGGGTCATCATTTGTCCGATCAGTCCCTTTGGGTTTCATATTGAAATAATAGTAATATCTTTGCGTAAGCAATTTGGGAATTTCAAGAACTCAATACCCAAGTCATTTTCTTTTTAAAACATACAAATACATGAACCTTCTTCACAAACCAAAAATGTAGAAACAAATGCTAAAAACTCATCTTGTCAAAATTGTAACTCCTATCACTAACACTAAACATTTGTGATCACCATTTCATGCAATCTTTCTACTGTTTTCCTGACAAAATAGCCAACGTAAGTTGTCTTTCCTGACACAATTTCACCGGATTTTTATAAATAGTAATCTGAACCAACTTCCCATCCGATAAAACCACTCGCGCAATACTAAAATCATCACCTTTTTCAACACCAAACTGCCACTCTCTTACTGTTATCTCAAACCAATCTTTCCTCACACTTGAAGTCGACTTAACTTCAATATATTCCTTCTTCTTACTATCCTCCCCTACAACAACAATATCATAAGGCAACCCAGATTCCTTAACCTCATTCACCCATCTCACATTTTTCTCACCAAATTTCCCACTGAAGTATTTATAAGCCACATCTTCACCTGTCCTCCCCGTTATCACCTGTTGTGGGGTCCCCTGGCCCACCGGGCCCAAACTTATCTGTTCTCTCACAATCCCATGTGATGATGATGATGATGACTCGTTATTCTTTCTGTAATCCAACTCGGAATCCAATTTGTCTTTTTCCTCCAAGATCATTGGAGCTGTGTTTAAGGTTTCATTCTCTTCGATGATCCAGTCATCATCATGCTCGATTACTTCACTTTTGTTACACGGTTTTGTCTTCAACGCGTGTTCGAACCCTGGTGCAGTTTTCCAATTGACAGGTGGCCAGCTCGAGTTAGTTCCAAACTTCTTGGAGGCGGAAGCAGGCTTTGGAGGGTGGTCTAATGGCAAACCGGAGGTGGTTGGAATTTCGTTTTCCGGCGATGACATGGCGGCGAGACACCATGGTGGTTCTTGACTTGGGAGGTTTGATAGCTTTTGGCTGTTGGAAATGAAGGATTCCATTTGGTCCTGGGTGGAACCGGATTCCGCCATTGTTGTGATCATGTGAAGGAAGTTTGCTAAGTGGAGTTGGGTATTCCGGGGGATTAGGAATCGGGAAAGCTCGAGAAACAGGGAGTGGGAATCGGAATCGCGGGTTGCGTATAGGATGGTGTCTTGTAGGAGACAACTGCAGTCGTGGCGTTTGTTGGATTCGATTTTGAATCTTTTTATGATGTTTTTGTAGAACAGATTTTCCACCACAATGATTTGGAGTTTTTGGTTCTTGAATTGAGAATATTCGTTTGGATGATTGGTGTAAATGTAACGCTGTGCATATGGGAGGGCCCACGTTATTAATGAAGCTTTGAAACTACTGTCTGTTGGGCCATAGTATATTGCCTCACGTGTCACAACCTGTAAAACCCAAGTGTGTGTAAGAGAGAGAGAGAGATTCCAGTGTGTGTATGAGAGAGAAAGAGAGAAAGATGTACCTCAGAAAGCAAAGGGATTCCGAGTTTCCGAAGTAAGACGGAAATCTTATCTTGAAGGATTTGTTGTTCTTCAGGATTAAGGTCCCCAAAAGATAGAAAATCAACATTGTTCAAGTTCTTGAATTCTTTTTTCAGATGTTCATCATCACACCAACATAAAAGACCAAAGGATTCATGTAAAGAAACCCATTTATCTTGTACAGTTGGAAGTATTGTCGTTTTCTTTTTGTGTAGGCTCTTCTTCAAGTAGCCAATATCTTCAGAACTCAGAATCCCAGATTCCATTCCGTCGTTCCACTGTTTAAAAACTTGGAAAACCTAACAACACATGAAACAAAAAAAAAATGTTATAGGATTAAATGGATAAAATTAAAAAGATTCCAATTTGTGACACTCACTGTTTTAGCTGCTTGTGATGGCAAAACTGTGGATGATAATTGTAGCAAAGATTGAAGGTAGCCAAGGAGAGGAGGATTTTCAGCTACACCAAATTCAGTAACAAAGAAATAATGAAGACCAGGGTAAACATTGCATAACATCTTGCTGAGAGGACTATTAGTCAAATTTTGGTCAACTTTAGGATCGGTTGACTTTAATTGTTCCATTGACCCGGTGGAATCATGCCAAAATACTTCATGAGGAGATAAGAATAAACCGGATACAACTTCGTTTGTGGAATTATGTGAGTGAGGAACAAATATGAAAGCTTGAGAATTCAAATTGTCCATAATCTTCTGTCTTGAGATGCTCATCTCATTCCATATGTATGTGTAAAGCTTGGTCATATGAGATATGCTGTCAAAGAAGAGAATAAAAAATAAAAAATTATATATAACAAAAAGAAGAGAATTAATTATACACATTGGTGAAGGATTAAAACTGAAATACCTGGCCTTGAAACGTTTCTTAGATGTTCTCCAAACTTGAAGAACTGATAAAGCATCATCAAGGGTGACTGTAGTCTTCAACCCAATATCACTTAACAACTTCACATTTTTAACCTATTTCATGACAACAAACATCACAAGTATTATTGTTATTAGTAGTAGTAGTAGTAGTACTTACATTTATTATATCACAACATTTATTTAACATTGTATATTATACCTTTGGAGCAGCATATGGTGCAAAATCACCAAGAATTGCAGAAACCGTGTCACAATTATGAAACAAATCTTTGGAAAAGTGAAGTTGATCATCCATACTAGAAGCCAACCATTGGAGACTATGAAGGGTTCTTAAAATGGAAGATTTAAAGGGCTTGTTATGTCCATTTATGCTGCAAAAACCCGTAAGTTTATCCCTAAAATAATCATCCCATAGTGTATCAAGTACCTCCAAAAGGTGCTTACCCTTGTTCCTATCACCACTTGATAACAAACCTGTTAGCTCTTGAGATTCCCAATCTTCCACAATGGACCCTGAAGATATACAATCATCATCCAACATCATGTTCTTGAGAATAGTATGTGGGATATCTGCAATTTGCTTTTCAATTTTCACTATTTGCACAAAATCAGTAACCCCTAACTCCTGCAAGAATTTTCTCCATTTTGATTTTGCTCCATTTAAGGATTTGGAAATCGGGTGCTTCAGATAGCTGTTATCAATCTCAAACCATTGCATATCAGTGCCATGAATCAACTTCCTCATATCAATTGGGTTCCCGAATTCTTTACTGAAATGAATTGGCACGTCGAAAAGTCTTTTATACCCCTGGTTTGTGGAGATAAAAGCAGTGTCACGCACCTGTGAGAGTAGATTCTCTCTTTCTGGAATACAGTCAGAGCAAGATGATTCAAAATGGAACATGATAAAAGAAAGATATTCAGTCATCAATTCTTTACTTTCTGAAACAACTTTTTCATCTGAAATAGCTGGCAAGATGTGCACTTTTAAAACTTCATGTGCAGATAACTTTTGAACACCCACTTTGTAAAGCATCTGCGTTATGTTTTCAACATGAGTATTGTTAAGAAGGGCAGAATTGACAATTCGAAGTTTGGGGTGCAAGTTCCTAAAAGCTTCAAGACCATGTTTACTATCAACTCTATCGGTATTCAACCATATTGCACCTTCTTGAATTGATGAATATTTGCCATCAGAGAGAAGAATAAATGGTAACTGAACAAGGGTATTTATGACATCATCACTATGGTCAGAAACAGAAACATTGACCAACATCAAATACAAAACATTTAGCCAAGAACATAGCCAATTGATTCCCTTTGATTTTAATGAACGTTTCTGACATAATGATGTCATGATCTGAAGAAGAATCTTGGGCCCACATTCTTCAATCCCTAAAGCACATGCTAAAGAATCTGATAAAACCGTATCTTTATTCAAGTACCCAACACCAAGATGCTCTTTTATTAAACTATCGGGTAATAACTCACGAACTTCATCAGTCCAATTTCTTAGCACTTTACATGGTGGGACCCACTTCTTGTTGTCCCCTTCTAGAAGGAAACAGTTGGAAGTAAGCAACTTGGAAATAATCATACGTGGGAGGCAAGAAAAGAACCCGTGGACCTCCCCTCCTAAAGGGACAAAACTCATAAAGACCGAAATACCCTTTGCGGGATTATCCCTAAAACTTGGGAGACTACAGAACGATTTTTCAGCACTCACGAACAAATCTGGAAATTCCGATAATAACCATTGATTCCATGGACTATCTCCATCTACTTCCTCTCTTGATGAAGGGAGAATAAAATCAGCTTGGATTATAAATTTCAATCCATAACTTCTTAAAGGAAGAAAAGCAAAAACAGGTTGGTGATCCAGTTTTGGAATGTAGTTTCCATTATCCAAATCTTCTTCCAACATAAGAGCCATTGATATTTCAGTTGTTTGGACATCATGGCGAATGTGATTGGATTGAAGTTTACTGGATTTCACAAACCAAGTCATTTTTTGTTCCCCAAAAGAAACGTTTACAATGCCATCTCCAACAACTTCTTTCCTCATGATAACGAGTGAATCGTTTAAAAGATTTCTGAATTTGATACATTTGAGGCGATGAAGGAAGAGTAACAAGGATGGATGGAGATCAGAGAACATGGAAATGAGATTCTCAACTGAAAAGGGTTCGTGTTTCTTTGATTTGAAAGGAAGCACAATGCATGTATTCCAGTGTTTTTCATTGTTCATGGAAACCAATTTGCTGAAATGATCAATGTCACAAGGTGGGACAATTGTTGGTAGAACAAAACCAATTTGACCATTGGTTATGTCAAACTTGATATGGAACCCATTGGAATGGATTTCTGGAGCATCCGTAACCTAAAAGTAGATTAAAAAAAATATTATTAGTAAAACATAAAACAAAGAGTAAACTACATTTGAGGTTTTGCAATTGTAGTCATAAAAGGTTTTCTCTTGCAACTTTGGTCCCTATTTGAGGTTTTGAAACGTTTCGGTCCTTACTTTAAAGTAATCTACCGATTTTGGTCCATGTTCCAAGTAAAATTACTATATTACCCTTTTAATACTTTTTTTACAAATTTTTATTATAATTAATAATGGAGTCGGATGAGGGTGGTAGACAATTAAAATAATAAACATTTATAAAAAAAATTATAAAAAAGGCATTATAGTCATTTTATTGAAAGGGGGGCAAATTTGTTAAGAAACAACAATTACAAGTACGAAAACATCAAAAGAAAACTTTTTGGAACCAAATTTTCAAAAATAGCTATACTCAGTGACAAAAAATGTAATTTACTCTAAACCGAAATAAAGAATGGAATGCATAAATCGAGTAGTTAAAGAATAGTAAAGTATACCCGGAATACAGATTTGAAGCCAATGCCCTTTTTACCAATATACCCTGCACTAGGCTCCTTCTTTGTTGAATTGCCAACATCACAAAGTGCTTTGATGTTTTCAACAGAAAATCCTTGCTCATTATTCAAGACTATAACACCTTCTTCTTGAAGAATAAAGGTCAAAGTTGGCTCCACATCACATGGGTACACATTGTCATCAGCATTTTGAACCTACAAATGAGAGAAAACAAGTGTTTTAGTTTTACACAAAAGAACCATAGAATATTAAAGGGCAAATTTCTTTTTTCCCATTAAGTCCAACATGTATCAAGTAAATGACCATTTTACCCTTCAACATAAACATGAAAATAAAAGTAAATGAAAAAGATGCACTCACGAGTTCGAGTAGAAAATGTGAGTCTTGAGAGTATAACTCTTGAGAAAGACAATGTAATGCTCTACCTAATCGAGCATGTTGTTTCTTCAAAATAGTGTCTTCCTCCTCTATACTTGGATCCAACCCAAATTCTTCTCGCCTAATAGACTCGATAATCTTGGCAGATTCCTTTTCATTATTACTTCTAGATGAATGCTTCTTCACTTTCTTGTGATCCATTTTTTTGCCAATGACATCATTTAGTTGACAATCCTCTGTTTTCACATTACCTTTTGTAGACAACACTCCTTTCCTTTCAACAGGGGTATAACTGGTAGATGCATCCTCTTTTTGATCAAATTCAGATGACTTAATGGAATCAGAAACAGAAAAGATACGGTGATCTTCAATCCATTCCATTACACCAAGAGAGAACCCTAATTCATGAAGCATTACACGGTGTTCTGTGTGTCTACATTCACTTAAAATAACTGAAGAAGCATCTTTAACAATGGAACGGAATCCAGAAAGCAATACATCGGTTGCAAAGGAACGGAATTCAATGGGTAAATAAGCTAGACATTCAAGCATAAACTTAGATGCAACGGGTATTTTGTTATTGAGTTGAGTTTTGTCTTTTGATGAATCATAATTCATTATGACCTTAAAGGCTTTTTCAGCATGACACTTTAGAAGAGATAATGGAATATTCTTTTCACCACCATAAAGTGCAAAAAGAGAGAGAAGATTTACTGCTGTTTGAAAAGAGGACCCACGAATGGAAGCTTCTAGAAACGAATCCACAGTGGATGTATGATCAATACGTATCACATTTCCACTTTTAGTCACCAAACAAAGCAGCTCATTCGCTTTAATCTCCTTTATTAACCACAAAGTAAGAGGGCCAAGAGAAGGGGCGAATAAAACATCCCAATGTGACCATGTATTTAAATCTGTCAACATTGGAGCCCTAATTAACACTTCAATTGCATCTTTAGAGGAAACATGTGTTTGATTGTTCACAGAAGGGCCTAATAAAGCAGCTGAAAAAAGCACACCCTTTGAAACCGGATTACTTTTGTTGCCTTTCACAACATTTTCAAGGGCTTTTAAAGAACCTTCTTTATCTAATTTGAAAGGTATCAAAGGGAATTGCTTTGTAAGCAACTCCACAACATTCTTTTTGGTTAAATCTTTGTTTTGTAATGAGGCTTGTGCTACTAGCACATTCAATAGCTGATTAGACATGTAAGCCTCTAAAGAAGGCTTACTGTGTTTCCCATCACTCTGAAAGATTTTTTGGAATGAAGGAGGCAATGAAGAAATGTTTCTTTCAAGGAATGTGAGATAATCACCATGTCCTAAAGACTCAAAGTTTTCAACACCAAACTGTTGAGTTAGCCATACCTCACACTTGTAAAGACTTTTAAAAAGGGTTCCATGATTATCTTTGAAAAATTCAGAACCTTTCATCAAAATGTCTTCAAGGCTGACGTCTGTATAAGGTAAAGAAACAAACAAAAGGTTGAATTGGTGAATCAAAATAATGTAAAAATCATTATGATGTAATTACAGAAACACTCACCACAATGTTCTTTTAAGACTTGCTTACTAGCAGCTTGTTCTGTCTGTATGGTTGCATTCTCAGTATGATCTTCAGCACTTTGTTGATCAAAAGTTTGGAGAGTGTCATACATGCTATCCCACATTCCATCTTGTATAGACTTTACCTGAAAGTTTTATAGAGATTTTTCATTATAAATTGCATGGACTATATTGCAATTTTCATTCCATTCCATGATGGAATGAAAAAACATCACATGGGTAAGGAATGAAAATTAAGAAAATGGAAGGAATCACATTCATATTTAGTTTAGTTGCTAAAAAGATTGTTCTTTTCCAGAGATTTTTTGAAAAGTTAGATGGTTTGCAACAACTTTTGAAGTCAAAATCTGTAACTGTCTATCTGTTTGAGCCATCATTTCATTTAAGAATATTTTTTTATCATCCAAGAAACTAAGAAAATGACATGAATACTGATGAGCTAGTGATGAACTACTAACCGCAACATTAATTAATCCAAGTAAAGGGTAGGACTGGCAAAGTTGTCCAATCAAAACCTCTTTCGATGTCTCTTGTGATCTCGATTTAGTTTTTTTCTTCTTTGGAAGTTTGGAGGGTCCATAGAACTCAAACATCTGAATGAATACCTATCAATCACAACAAGTGAAGATACTTTTAGGCATATGAATAACATAATAGACAATGAAACACTCAAATACATGAGTGCAAACAAAAAAGAAAATAACAAACCTCAGATGCGTTCTTCCCTTTGCATGCATCCTTCCACAAAGTGACGAATGACATAATAGATTCATTACTTAGTGTATTAGCTATATGTCCATAGTCAATTAGGCTCACATTCTTCATCATAACAACATCTCTTTTACGCAATTTGAGGGTACGAAAATCATTGCATGCTATTTCATCAGATTTTCTCTTTTTATTCACACTTGCTACAGCTTCATTAGGTTTCTCTTCCTTTTCACTTGTGATTCCAAGTCGTGTCTTCTCCTCATTTACAGAGGGATAAGGACAAGTGCTAACTCTATTGGATCTTTTCTTCTTTCGAGATGACTTTTTGCTTTTGCTTTTGCTTTTGCTTTGACTAGTCAAACAAGTTTCATCTTCATTTTCATCGCTTTCAACATCAACGCCTTCATCTTCTGAGCTTGATAGAAATCGTATGTGCTTCCCGTTTTCGGAAGAAAATGACTTGAGGCGTTGGGATATGGCACCAAAATTTTCATCAAGTTGTTTTTTCTGTGATGTGAAAAGAGGACGAGTTTTCTTCTGTTTGCCAGAGCTTTCAAGATACTTGCTTATTGTGGCATTTTCCAATGGCTTTGCTTTCCGAATAAGAGTAATATGCATCCTACATAAAGAAGAGAATGGGGTAAAGGGAAGGTAAAAAAGCAGAAGGGCAAGATTGAGAAGGTATATATTGCATGAAAAGCACAAACAAAGTATGATGAATTAGTAACTACATTCATATGGCAACTGCTTTTATAAAAGAACAAGTTATCAAAGATAATACGTATACTAAAGAGGAATTGCAAAACATACCCCAGGCTTTGGATTCGTACATGAAGCTTTTCCTTGCTATCAACTGATCGCTTGTTGGCGATGAAATCCAAAAATTCATTAACTAAAACCTCTTTGCCTTTATGGATGTCCATATATTCGACAAGAAAAGAAATTATCTCTCTGGAAGATATTTTGAACACTGCTGTTGAATCAGAACTCACACAAAAATAATGATTTATAAGAGGATGCCTGATGAGAGGTCCCAATTCAAGCTCTTCAAATTGCTGAACTCCTTCGTTCTTGCAGATTGCCATCTCCAAATCAAATAAAGTGGTAATCTTCCAGACCTCAACAAAGCAATGGATAAGTGCATTGATCTGAAGGGAAAAACAAGAAAAAACACCTCTATCAGCAAGTTAACTTTTGACGTCAGAAAGTAATGGGATTGAGATAACAAAAACTGAAAGGTGTCCAGTTTTTGGAAGAGTGGCAGAACTATAATTATCAACATAATAAACCAAGATTTTAGCAATAATAATATCATTTAGATGCATATTTTTACCTTCCCTTCTATCAGCATAAGGCGGTATAGACAGGGTACATGTTGCATCTGAACCCCTAGTGAATCCCAAGAATCAGCTTGAAGTATTACAAGGGCAGCCTGTGACACCTTCAACGCCGACACGTTTTCTCCGGCGACAATGAGCTCACGGCGTGCCTTTACAACGGCTTTATCGATCTTTTCCATAGTTCCATTATGCGGTATCACTCTATTATTTGACAACTGATTATGGGGAGTGAAGCTATGGTTTTGCATATGGAAGCTGGGGTTTTCAATAGAAAAATTATGGTTTTGCATATGAAAGTTGGGGTTTTCAATGGGTAAATTAAGGTTTTGGGTATGGATGTTGGGGTTTTCTACGGGAAAGTTAGGGAACATCGGAAAGTTTGGGGGTTGGAGGTAATAGTTGTTGTTTAGAAGATAATTAGGGTTCATATGCGGCTGTGCTTGCTGTTGCGGCGGAGGTTGCCCTCGGCCGCCGCCACGATGGCTGAAGGGCGGTGGCTGTCCGTACATAATGGGACTGCAGTTTGGAGAAAAACCGGCGCGGAGAGATTTTGTTAATCTACTGACCTAAACTCCTTCCTTCCTTTTTATTTTGTTTTGGGTTATTGCGAATTTGGACACGAATATATTTAATTAGTAGATGTGAGCCATATGTATTATATGGGTTTATTAAAAAAAAATAATAAATATAAACTTATAATAATTCAAAAAGTTTGAATTTATAAGAAAAAATGAGAAATTTTTGAATTATTAAAATTAATAATCTTTAATGTATTGAATACATTACATATATAAATAGTTTACATATATATTACTTTACATATTAAATGTAAAATTTTAATTTAATAAAATGAAAAATACAATAAAATAACAAGTGGAAAATAGAAAATTTAAAAAATTCCAGAAAATATCATGTGTCCAAATGAAAAAGAAGAGGATATGTGGCAAAAAACCTTCATTTATTATAGTAGATTTATACAGTGTTTTATACATTTCTGAGTTTATTTTAAGGAAAATGAGCGAAGTGATCCTTTTTCCTCCTGATTTTCTTTTCGATTTTAAAAGAAAAACAAAATGTTTAATTTTCTTCCACCTCTTTCAATTCGGAAACACAAAAGACGAATTTTGTTTTCTTTCTTTTCTCTTCTTCTCTTTTCTTTGCTACAACTCGGAAACAGGGTGTAACACCAAAAACACATATCCACGTAAGTTTTTAATCCTGTTTCAAATTTTACAAATTGTGATATATATATATATATATATATATATATATATATATATATATATATATATGAAAAAACAATGTTAGTAAAATATATGTTGATTTTTATATATAACAAATAACAAATATATATATATATATATATATATATATATATATATATATATATATATATATATTATAATTTTTAGTAACATAAAAACAGTACAACATTTACTATAACATTTGTAACAAACAAAACTATTAAAGATTTATAAATCATTGAAAAATATATAAATAAATCAACATGTATTGTTATAGGTTATTGTCACTATTATCCAACAATTTTTCGTATATTGGTTTAAATGATCATTCGTGATTTTTTTAAAATTTTGCATTTAAAGGGTACGAACTTGTTTTTCAGGTTTTAAAAGATCATTATGGAAAATTTGAAGGGGTCACCCGGTGACCCCCATCCTAATCATCAGTATGTAAGTACCAACTAATTGCCACGAAGGATTTTGAGAGACAGCTTGCAATTAAGTTCATTAAATTGTCTAACGGCTTCCCACAAAGCTTTGAATTTCCAGCGAATTATATTTCGTTTTGATTGAAGAAATCACTGATTTCGAGATTGATCCAGTAATATTTATAAACGACAAGTCAACGGTTGCATTCGTCGGAATTTTGTTTGTGAATTTCGGTGGAATCTCTCCTGAGATATTGTTGTATGAAAGAACAAGATCACCTCTCTCAAAATCTTTAGGTAATGATCCGTTGATGAAATTTGTAGATAGATCTAGAAATTTCAACGAATCAAACCTAATCGGAATCTCCCCATGAAGATAATTATTCTTCAAAGAAATCATCGTTAAGTTCCTGTAACGTCTGGTTCCTGGTATATATTTATTTTATAAATATTTATTTTTATATAGCAACTCAATGAGTTGGAGGCCCCAAACTCGTCGAGTATAGATGTTTTGGACCGCACGTTTTGGTGACCAACTCGACGAGTTGGCAGGTCTCAACTCGACGAATTGGATAGGTAAATTGACACCCTAATTACAGGGTTTTGCACCCTATTTAAACACCTTAACCCTAAGGTGTTGGCCTCATTTCCAACCTCCATTGTCCTAACCCTAAATCTTGAAACCCTAAAGCTACTTTGAGTGATTGTGAGACATTTTGTGTGTTTTTGGTGTGTGTTGAAGCCATTGGAAGAAGGAAAAAGCTTGAAGACGCAAGAGGGGGTGTATAGATCCAGAATCCTTGCCTTATCCACGACACTTTTCTAGTATAAAGCTTGAACATTGCCTTGTAGTTGTCTAGATCTTCTTTTAGGGTCATTTTGTTTGGTTTTGTCCAAATATCTTGGTCCTTGGGAGTTAGACATCCTAAATGGGTGAACACTTCAGATCACTGGTCTTGAGGGGTTTTCATGGCATAAAGGTGTCAACTTTATGGCCATCGGAGTCCCATGCAACCTTTAGACCATCATTTTGGCCTTTTGGAGCTTCTAATGGTCATGCATGTACAGAAAGCTAGAACTTTACGTGATCTTTTTGTCCCTAAAGTTCGGATCTGTAACCTCATGGTCTATCTTGTAGTTTTGGTGGTTGTTGGATTAAGGCTTTGGCCTTTTTGGGTTAGGGTTTGAGATTAATCTCTTTAGGAAAGGTATTAATGGGTAAAGTTGGAAACTTTACCCTTGTAGAGGCATTTCCAGTCTATATCTGGAGTATAGGGTGTAGATCTGAAGAATAATGGCTTAATACATTAAGAAGGGTTAACAGACTGAAGAACTCGACGAGTTCACAGAAGAACTCGACGAGTTGTATTGAGAAGTCCCGATTCTGTTGAAAAGGAAGAACTCTACGAGGTGGAGGAAAACTCGACGAGATAGATCGCGATATCATGATTTTGTGATTCATGGAAACTCGGTGAGTTGAAGGGCAACTCAACAAGTTGAGTTAACTCGTAGCCATGACTTTGACTTTAACCTTGACCAAAGTTGACCCTTAAGGGGTTATGAGTATGAAGGGGTACTTAAGGAAATCTTTTATGTTTAGAGATTGAGTTGGGTTGATATTCATAGTCGGGAACTATTCAGCTACTTTCCAGTATTCGAGATGAGTTTCCTTACCAGATTTTGTGACAACCCTATTTTTCCCAAAAAGCACTGTAAACATTCGAAAGCTAAAAACAACGAAATTAACCTCGAAAATAAAGTGTTCAGGTATCTAAGTTGGGATGCATCGAATATTAGATATCATGCCCAGGTTTCCAAAAACATAAAGAACACTCAAAACCGAGTTATAATGAAGAAATTATAACCACTCGTATAATTACGACACATCGTTAAAACGTAATTTAACGTAAAAAGTGGAATCTCAATAAAATACATTTTTGCCTTAAAGTATCTAAATAAAAGTCGTAGATCTCGTTGAAAGATGAGCGTGCATAAAAAGATCGCCCAAATTGGACCTCGTATGAAGAAGTTACGAATTTTCAAAGTTTCGTAACAGTAGTAGAGGGCTAAAAACTCGGATTAAAGATCGAGTGTTATTTAGCTATCGCCGCCTAAACGGAAGTTGAAGATCTCCTCGGTGGTAACAAAACAATCAAAAGACAAACGAAAACCGCCATCGAATAAAGAACCTATGAAATTTTAACGAACCTTAGGAGGCCCGGCCTATTAAAATTATATCATTAAAAATAAAGTCAAAACTAGCCGACGGAGTCTAAATGAAAGTTGTAGAGCATAATCTCACCTACGCGTGGATATAAAGAACGCGAAAAACGGAACTCGTACGCGAAAGTTACGGAATTTAGAAGTCGGAAGCAGGGATTACGCCCCGCGTACTAGACCCAGAGTCGGGTCTCATCAACCCGCCCAAGCTACGCTGGCTAGACCCAGTAGTCCCATCGACCCGCCCAAGCTACACCGGCTAGACCCGATTCGTAAGCCATGACGCCACATTACGCCCCGTGTACTCCGGACGTACGCGCCGCGTACGGGGTTTTCCAGCCCTATAAATGGAAGGCATAAGCTTCGAGTTTAGGCACACCTTCACCATTTCTCAGCCATTCTCCCAGCTCCAGAGACCTTTTTCTCACCTCGGTTTCCGCACTCGAGCCCCCGACGAAAGATTTACGTTGCAGAAATCCCCGAAGAGCCCGACGACGCAACTATCCGCGATCGAAACTCTGCTCAACTCTAGCCCCTCTCTTCGGACTTAACGAGTGAGTTCATACCCCTACTTTTCAATTCTTTTACATGTTTTAGGGGGGAAATACAAGTACATTACACGTTAAAAGTATCGTTTTCTAAACATAAATGAAATTTCTAACTTCGAATATCGACACAAACATCTTATGTATACAAGAGCGATTATATCACTAAATTATGTCTACGAAATGGAACATACTATCTGAAAAACTATAATGGGTATAGTTAGCAAGTCAATCCTACATTTTTATACAATTTGAAAAACGAAACACTTTCAAAAGGAGTAAGGTCATTTCATTGTAAATCTACTTATACTAGGTAATGTGAGATACTTAAACTTCAACGTACATTTTTGTATGCATTTCAAGTCCTGTATTATATACCATAATCTCTTGGAGGAGAGCGTGATACTTGTGTATAGATCTATACGGGATTGACAATCCCGCACCTAAACTACTAGCTATAGTTAGACCGGCAGGTCTGGGGTGACAAATGTCATAACACTGCAACACTTGAAGAATGTTGTTACAGGCCGTCAGTGTCAATAGTATGGTTATAAAACTCACATAAAAAGTATAAAACAAGATTGATTTACGAGATTCACAAGTGCATCGCAGTTTTCTTACATTATAATTTCATACTAAATTATTGTCTTTGTTGTTTATAAAAGTTACTAATACATTTCCAGCTTTGGAACCATTTTCATTTTACAAGAAAATATTGGATTTTCTAAAAACCTCGGTTACCAATTTACTACCAAAATGAATATACTTTTCAACTCGGAGCACTCATGAACTCACCAACTTAATTGTTGACACTTTTCAAAACCACTTGTATTTCTCAGGGAATCAGTGATACAGGTAAACTACCAGCTTTTGGAAGAAGGAACACAAAGGATGATTTTATCATTAAACATTTATTCATCATATTGTAATATTCTTTTGATAACATGTAATACGCAACAATACACGTTTTCATTGTTATATATATGATGGTTGTGTTACTTTCTTTACAATATTCAATCGTTGTGATACTACGTGAAGTCATCCACCCCCGAATGTTTCCGCCATTCTGGTTTGGGGGTGTGACAGATTTAGTGGGTCAAAGGCACCAAGGTTGGCCCATGTTTACATTATGATGTTATTATGCTAGTTGTCTCTGTGACTCTTAC